AGAATATATATTCAATATATTAGAATATATATTATATATATTAATTATTCAATATATTAGAATATTCAATATATAAATAATTTTTGTATGAAACAAGTACAGCATGCCATCTCCCTGTATCTTCAAATTAGCAGCATCAGTGATAGTCTTGTGTTATCTCATTCATTATATTGATTCCATGTGTAACCTTCTTGTGGAATTTGTCATACACAAGCCCAGACTATAAAGAGAGGACATACAAATAATTTCTTTTAAAAAATGATTGCATTAAAGGAAAAAAATCCCAAGCTCTAGAACCTTAAGACAAATAAAAATAGCAATACCCCATCGTAAAGTTATACAGGAAAAGTAGGAAAAAAAAATTGGAGAGAGAGACTGCAAACTGTTCTATACAGGAGTAAATATATGTTCCACTGTGTATTATGCAAATATACCTAGATATATTTTATATACAGGTGTATGTGCACATGGATGTATGTATACATTTTACTCAGAGCAAAAATGTAATTCTGTCCATTTACATTTTTTTTTTCTTTTTGGAAGATACAACTAACATTGAGAGACTTTTCATGCATCTGTAGTGAACACTCTGTATTATTCTCTAGTAACCTGAAATTCTGCCATTTCTCCAATGACTGGCAACTCCTCTGGTTAGAAAAGATTATTTTTATTTTTTAATCTGTATGAATTACAATCATATTTTTAACAAACTTTAAAAACCTGTAAGTCATACCGACTACATTTGAGAGACATAATTCTGTAGGAAAATAAACTGACTGCAGGATACCATTTAGCTGTTTTTTACATATACATACACATGGACTTTGGATGCAATCTTCATGTATTCCTCTCATTCCCCTCTGCATTATATTAATCTGAATGAAAATTTTCTCAGCTACAAATTTATTTTCTGGAGGCTTCAAAACTGCATGCATGAAGATTATAAAAATTCTGGTACTATAAGCATGAAGTTATCTGATGAAAGAAAAAGGATGTCATAATTTAAGTTTGTTCTATAACTGTAAATTTTTGTATGCTTGACATTTTACACTGTCATCAAGTTGCAAGTGCTCAGAAAGCCATAATCTTTTATTTTACAAGAAACAGTTCGGTAACATCGACATGTTCAAGGTGTTCCTATTAATCGAAATAAACGTCCTAATACTTTATTCATGAACTGCATTTAGAAAAAAACCCACTAATTTGGTTACTAAATACTAAGTGTGTTAAAATATTTTTTATTCTTCTAAAGCTGTTTCTTGTACTGTTTCATAAAACCTGTTCTGATCATAACTTCATCTATTTTTCTATTTAAATTGGTATTTAAAGGCAGATAGTAGTAAGTCAGCAATACCAGAAAATGAAAAATTAATCAAGGTAAGGATGTACTGTATATACATCATTAGCCTATCACACTAGAGAGAGTTTTCTCAATTCACAGATGGCCAAATTTATTACAGGTATCATACACCAAGCAAAAGGTTAAATCTTCCATAAAGACTTCTGCAAAGGATGAAAGACAATAACAAAGTATATACACAAGGAACAAACATAATAAATATACATATTTTTTAAATGGCAGTTACAAGTTGTTTTAGAGATATCAATTTAGTACAAAAAAAAAGAGTAGTTACATCTAAAGCCAAGCTTGGAAGACAGGACAATTCAGGTTAACTGTCTTCCCTTATCTCCCTTTTTGTCCACAACTCAAAGCAACAGCATGGCTACTTCAGACACTGTCCAAGACATGCAAAAATCCCCAGACTTCTTTGCTGTCAGCATACTAAAGTTTTTTTTCTGAGCTGCTATGTAGTCCCCCATGACGCTAGATATACTACATGAAATCTCTTCCCTTTTTCCAGCTTTCCCGAAGCAGGGAAAGTAAAGGGCTATTCAGAATCTGCTCCCATCCCACAAGGGTGGTCTTTTATACCCACCCAACCTCCCAGCAGCTGGTGTTTGTCCAGTGGCTGCAACAGATTATGGAGTTTAAATGTCAAGTACAAATTCTTATCTTCGTTAGCTATTAAAGTACCTTTTCCGATATAAATCTTTAGAGCTTCCACCCACCCTGCTATACTGGAATACCGAAGGAAGATTTAGTCTCTATGAACATGGGATACAGAGCAATGCAAGCAGCACACCTGGGCCCTGATGGACCAAACATCATCTGTAGCTAGGTGAATATCTTTAACTGGGCTGAGACAGCCAGTCATGGAAACAGGCAGCTTGTGCTCACTACATGGTCTATGATCACATCTTATTTCATTTCACAATATTAATTTTGTTTTCCTTTTTCCCTGGCCTTCAGATCAAGTGTTTTTTCACTTGAGAACTGGAATAATGGAAATCCTGGGTAAATATACTTTTAAGTTACAACAATCCTTGGTTTTGTTGGTAAGGAAAGTAAGTTAAGATCTTTTGGTTCAGGTGTTTCAAAAACATTCAAGGGCCCACAATTTCAATTGTGGGAATTAAACTTAATAAAATTGGAGGTACATAATGGAATATAAAATCCATCACTGAGAATAAAAGCAGAACTAACCTTGTGCTTACTCTGAGACACAGTGAGCCATCTCCCTTATAAAAGACTATAAAAAATAAAAACCCTTGCATGACTAAGCATCAGAGAACAGTAAGAACGATCGAATATATGAAATAGTTTTCATATAAGCAACCATATAGACAACAACTTATCAACCAGACAGAAGAGATTACTATGGTGAGTATAGGACTGAAGTCTATAAAACCATAAAGAATATGAAAAAAATACATAAAGAATGAAGGTTTTATTTCCCTTCCCAGAGAAGAATTAATGTGCATCAAATTAAATTAGCAGCTAGCAGGTTCAAAACAAACAAAAATGACAGATTCTAGACCAGGAAGTAAACTGTGAAGTAATTGTTCTGTGATGTTGTAAGTGTTAAGAGTTCATACCGACTCAAAGAGCTTTTCACAAATTCATGGAAGAAAAATGCATCACAGGCTATTAAAATCCAAAATTCCCCCCATAAGACTTTCTGCTGAGAACATCTTTAAGTCACAAGCCACTGCACACTGGCAGATATTTGAGGGAGTTATCACTCTATATTTCTCCTGTTCTTACAGCAGATGCCTAGGAAAGAGTATAAATCACTGCAGGAGATAAGATACCCTGGGCTATACATCCCTTAGCTTTGATCCAACACATAGCCCTTTGCACAGCTGGCTCCTCCCAGACAAGGCCTTCACGTATACACTCCACACGACTCAATTTTCTTCACAAGAAGTGAATCAAATGTGCTACATTCAAAGTATGTCAGTATTCCAACTATCCATCTATATACTATGAAGATAGACTAAATTTATTCTGGTGAGGAGTGGGCTTTTTACATGTAAATTACTTGATTTACAGAAAGTGTTCAAAGGAAGAGTTCCTTGTCAGAGGGGGAACACACACACCACACACACACACAAACCCTCATTCTAGAATGTAACAGATAAATTTGACAGATCAGGGCAAATTTACCAAGGTTCAAAGGGCTGCTTTCAGTAGACACAATTTTCCCCCTGCTGCACCTTTTGTAAAAGGGATAGTATTTCCCCAGGGTAGGGCTTTATGAAATCACGTCCTTAATTTGAGGTTTAAAGCCTCTTGTACAAAATACATCCACAAAGTTCCTTACAAAGGAAAGGTGAGACATGGGCAGAGAAGCAATAAGCTTAGCAAGTATACATATGTGCAGAATATTTTGTATATTATGTATGTTTCCATTTAACTAGCTCCTCTATAGGTTTTACTATCATTAATGAAAATTATGTCCCTATTTTTTAAAGCTGGAATAAGTTTTCAGGTAAGTAGGTGAGAGTACTTACCTGAATTGTAGTCCCTTGGCCTGGCAGGGTCAGTGAATGAAGAAATGCCACCTAAATATAAGAATAATGTATGTACTATTAGATTAATAATTTTCTTTATAAAATACAACTTCAAATTTAAAGTACTCTTTCAGTCTATTTCATAAGATACAAATATGAAACAACAGGTATGTATGATTATTTTTTCCCATCAGTGAGAGAATATAGTATTGGTAAGCTTGTATGTTGCTCTAGATTTGTTAGTAGTGTGCCATGTTTAAGCAACATACCTAGACTAGAAAAATGCAAACCAACCTAACAAATGTTCTCCAGAACATATAATGAATAATTTCTGCACTGAGATTATACACTGGTAAAAATGGGTTAAAGCACAGAAAACCGAGGACTGCAATAACACTGCACTGTTTCTGCTCTGCTAGATACGAGAAAAAGATGACCTGTGTACTGGAACACTCCTTCCTCCAGGTCGTAGTCACACAGCAACCTTCACAGTAGCAGGACCTCCATAGCATGTCTCACTAACAGTACTATGGGTTTTATCACAGAATCCTAGAATAATTCAGTTTGGAAGGGACCTCTCAGAAGGTCCCTAGCACAATTCCTACTCAGAGCAGGGTTAGCTGTGAGATCAGACTAGGTTACTGCATCAGGGCTTTATCTTGTCAAGGCTTGAAAACATCGAAGGGTGGAGACTGCAGAACCTCCCTAGACAGGGTGATCCAATGCTTGCCTGTCCTAATAGTCATCAGATAGCTCCCCCATGCCACAGAAAGATGCGATATTAACATTTAACTAACGTGACACTATGTATGTTCACTCCAGTGGGGTAGGAAATCTGATGCTTTGGTCTCTATTTTTCCACATGAAACCGCTAAACATATGACTTACAGACTGTATCGTTAAACTGCGATAAAACCTCCTGTGAAAAGCATACACATCTGAACAAATAATTTCCCACTATACAAACACCATATCCATGCTCAACTCGATGGCACAGTCATGAATAAAGTACTCAACATATTAAGTAATCAGACATTAAAAAAACAAATATTCTGACAACCAACCCCAGCACAGCTGTTGTGACAGGGCTTAGCCTTCCAAATAAAACACTAACATTTATTATAGTGCTCATATGAAAGTTTGCAGGGTTGTATTTAAAAACAATTGTTAGACTAAAGATGTCTAAAAAATACCATCTTTTTTAAAAAAAGTATTACTACAATATGAAAAACTGTAGTATTACATGGTTGGAAAGCTTGAGAACTCTGGTAATTTCTCAAGCATCCCACCACCTTCTTCAAACTGTAATGACTTCCACTAGAATGGATGCAAGTATTAGAAATCAACATGGAAACTTATTGTGTTTTGTCATATTTTTATGGCTTTACCACACTTTATTTAAAGTGACATTTTCATTGACATCTTATGAGAAACATTTTATTCTAAACATTTAAGAATGGTAAAAGGTATTCCTCTAAGTAAAGATATCTGAAAGACATTTACTGGTTCTTATTGTCTATATTTAAGGAGAAAAAAAGTTCATTTTTTTCTTCTGCATTCACTTTAATAACCAGCCTATCTTTAACTGCCTAAAAACTTGCTGAAATGGCCTGAATTTCTATATGCACGACTCACTGAATTCTAAAAATAAAAGCACCTTATGCAGATTTTACAAACTGAGTAAGATTATATACCTGCACAGGCTTTCATGATGTTTTTCAGAGGTCCCATAGTGTACATCAATCCAACAAGAATGCCTGCCAGATGCCCAGCAAAAGAAGTCCTACAAAAAAGGAAAATCTTGTGAGCAATGGCAAGGAAGACTTTTTTTGGTAGGGATTCAGAAGGGGGAATGCAGAATTTGTTGTAACAGAATGTTCTTGAGTAAGACCAAGCATAAAGAAATTATTTGCCTCCAAAGATATAGTGCCAAGTTTTCCTTCTACCTACCCTAAAACTGGTAGGTATAGACAGTTACAGAAAAGCATCTAACAAATATCCTGAAGAAACTGGAAAATAATTGGAGATATTTTAATTGCTTGTATAAAGGACAGAATACCATTTTCCTGAAATAATTTATATTAAAGACTGAGGTAGGAAACTAGTTTTAATCTATAAAAAAGTAAATCCAGAGAATTACACTGAAATGTCTAGGTAGGTTCTGTCAAAACCATTTAGAGTTTCAAGTGAAAGCATAAGTACAGTACTTTACTGCACTGAGATAAGCATGAATGCAGATCTGTTGCAATCTTTGTAATACAGTGCCTTCAGAATTAAAAGAACAATGAGGGAAATGCTGAGATCCAAATTCTTTTTTAGACACACCAACAATTTCTTTTTTAAAGATCACTGCCCATTTGCATATAGAATGAAAAGGCTCTAGACTCTTTTGAGAAGTCATCAACATGGAAGCATATGTTTACAGTAAATAAGGAGATTTGCTTCAAGTATTGCCATGACTGTGGGGTACTCTATAAATTCAGAATTTTCAGCATTCAAATTAAGAGTTAAACTCTTTTGAGTTTAACCACGTTTAAATATTATCTGTTAATTGTTCAGCTCTGTTATGAAATTAGAGAAGCCAATACATTAAACATTAATATTTCCCATTATATGCAATTATAAATAACTCAGTCCACTGGATTTACACTGGTTGTGCAAAGATTCAAGTAATATCAGCATTTTTGCTTTTATAAAGCAGAAAAGAAATCTCTATTTAAGATAAAAATAGATTTAAACATTACACTTTTTACATTCTGGCCAGATAGCCAAAAGGAGCTACACAGATTATAGCATGTGCACTCATGACAGTACAACTTCCAGACATCACTGGTAAAAGCATACAAGAAAACGCATATGTCACTAGAGGGAGATAAAGATCAAATCTAAATTCACTCTTTTGCCATCTACTTAACCACAAACTTCTCTCACAGTTCTCTTCCATAAGTAACCAGCATTTTTTTTTTTTTTTAAAGAGTAAAACATAGATGTTGACGTGAAAATTTATAGGTAAGAGGTAGTTAGCAAAATAAAGTACCTATAAAGAACTAATTTTCCAAACAGATTTTTCTGGAACAGATTTTCCCAATTTGTGAAAAACACATGCCTGACTTGAAAAGTGTCTGTACATGTAAAACATTAAATACTTCAAGATGCCTTACTCTAGAAATCACCAATGTGACAGTGATTCACCTATATTCACGGCAGTGTTTTAAACAAATGTCATGCTCATCTTGATTTATCTGAGAACAACACTGATCCACAAAACCCAAAATCAAGGCCTTTGCTTGCAATACAGTGCAGCTGTATATTTATGTAATATGAATAATCAAAACCCTTCAACTTTAAAAAGTCTTTAGGGGGTAATTTCCACTTCAAGTCTATTGAACAAGTTAGTGTACTAGAGGCGTGACCAGCAGGTCGAGGGAGGCGATCCTGTCCTTCTACTCAGCTCTTGTGAGCCCCCACCTGGAGTACTGCGTCCAGCTCTGGGGGCCCCAGTACAAGAGAGACATGGAGCTGTTGGAGCAAGTCCAGAGGAGGGCCACGAAGCTGACTGGAGGGATGGAGCACCTCTCCTGTGAGGACAGGCTGAGAGAGTTGGGATTGTTCAGCCTGGAGAAAAGGTGGCTCCAGGGAGATCTAATTGCGGCTTACCAGTACCTGAAGGGGGCCTACAGGAAAGCTGGTGAGGGACTGTTTATCAGGGAGTGTAGTGACAGGACAAGGGGGAATGGGTTTAAGCGGAAGGGGGGAGATTTAGATTAGATGTTAGAAAGAAATTCTTTACTGTGAGGGTGGTGAGGTGCGGGACCAGGTTGCCCAGAGAGGCTGGGGACGCCCCATCCCCGGAAGTGTTCAAGGCCAGGTTGGATGGGGCTTTGGGCAACGTGGTCTAGTGGAGGGGGACCCTGCCTGCAGCAGGTGGGTTGGAACTAGATGATCTTTAAGGTCCCTTCCAACCCAAACCATTCTATGATTCTATGCCTACACACTATTGACTCTTTTAATTAAAAGTTATATTGAAGGAGTAGAAACTTATAATGAAAATGTTTCAACAGAGTTTTCTAAATGAAAAATATTATCAGATACACTGTCACACACATACTATCACTGACATGGATAAAATTAGTACATTTGACAAATCACAAAGAATTTTCACCATATGCTGTTTTAAAATTAATTTCAGTGTGATCAACAGTAGCACCTTGCTACTTATAATTCCAAAGGAAAAGCAATTCTGTAGAGTACAAAAAGACAGCTTCCCTTACATTAACAAAATGCTTAATGCTACAGCCAAGTTAAAGAAACACCACTGCCTTTTAGAACATTCACTTTAGAATGGTAACTTAACTTCTTTTGCTAATGTTTGGTACGATTTATAGTATAGAAAACATCTTTATAGATATTTTCCAGATGTAACAACTAAAACATACAGATAACACACAATCAGGCATATATGTTACAAATATGCAACAAAAAAGGTAATTTTATTAAAAGCTTTTAACATTGTCAAAACAAATAAAAAAACCATAACTATGTAGCAAAATTCTGACGTAGTTAACAGGTGTCTTTTCCTAGCTGTTTTGAGGATGGGTAAGGTTCCAGAGGACTGTAAGGACATTGCTATGCTTATTCTTAAGCGGTGGGGGAGGAAGAGAAATAGAGGACTCTAGTCAGAGGACTACATATTAATCACTATCTTCTGTTCCCAGATAGTAATCATTGAACAAATAGTTTTAAGACACACACTTTGTCAACCTAGGTAAGAACACCCAAACCAGAAAACAGATTTGTCAAGAACAAATCATGTCAAATCAACAAAAATTCCTCCTTTGACAGAGCAAAGAGCCTCACGGAAAGGGAGAATTAGCAGATGTCTCACAGCATCTGTTGTAAAGAAGGCTTAAAAACCTTCAACTCTAAAACTACACTAAGGAGATCTCTAAATGGTTGGAAAGCCTGACTTGATACTTATCAGTGATTCACTATCAAACTTAGGATACAAATCACGTGGATTTCTGCAAGAGTCTATTCCAAATATTACTTACAAATATCAACAAGCTAAAAGAAGCTGTAAGGGTCACGGGAGATGGCATTAAAATTTAAAGCAACCTTGACAAAATGAAGTAGTGATTTGGAAAAAAATAGGGTGTAGTAAAAACAAATACGGAGTTCTGAACATACCACAGAAATCATCAACTATACAAACAGGCTAGAAGTGACTGGCTAGTAGGAGAGCTTCAGGATAGAACCTGGGGCACACAGTGAATTATACAATAAAGCACAGATCAACACATCACACCACTATAGAAAAGCCAAGTATTTTACTGGAAATATGTAAACAGGAGCACTACTGGGAAGTAAAATGAAGTAGCCTTCCACTCCACTCAGCAGTGGTAGGTCTCAGCTAGAGAACTGAGCCTACGTTTTGCATACTGCACATAAAGAGCAGCAACAAAAAAAGAGCCCACAAAACAACTTCCGAGAAAAGACTGAAGGGATCATAATCACTTAAGTCCATTGAAGAATTCTCTCACAGATACAATAATCTTAAAATATGGAAAAGATTGTCACTAATAGGAATGAATACACTCCCCACATTCTCTATCCATAGGACAAGGAGTAATGGATGTAAGTCACAGCAAGAGATTTAAAAACATTTAAGTAGTAGAACAGACTGGAGAAACTGAGAGTCTCCCTCCGCATCAGGCAGAGGCCTCCCAGATCCTCCTGAGCTCAGAGCACACTTTCGCCTACACTTGTCTCTGCTTTGTAAGGCAAAATGAGAGGGCTACTAAGACCCTGCAAAGAGCAATCAGAGTTTATTATAGTGATGATCTTTAAAAGTGCATTAGACTAAATATTGATAAGTATAAATTATATACACACATATATGTTTATATACAAACATATACATGTTTGTCCTTCTGAAGTTTTCACTCGGAGCATTTGTTCTGAGATCAGATTCATTCAGAAGCCCTATAATCTTATTTTACAAAAAAGAATGGAATTATTCCATATCAGTAAATTCCATAAAATAACTGTTTTACATATGCAATTAATGTTCTATCCACATGCCTTAGTCCAAAGTGGATACTCCTATTTCCAATGAACTTAAATATATTTGAACCATTAATGCCCAATAATACTTCAATGTCAATCTTCTTGACATTTTACTACATTTTGCAGTGAATTTTTATTTTCAGTAGATTGCCTTTTTTTATAAATTTACATAATGGCTTTCTTGCCTATGAGGCTGCCTGAGTTTTATCCACAGACATTAAAGCTAAGGGCAAAATTACAACTGTTTTCACAAGCAGGATTATATGCAAAGTTTAGAACTAAATGCTTGGATTTTGGCTCAAAAGAAATTAATTAACAATTTACAAAAAGTGCAAAATAAGTTGTGTGAAGAAGTCTTGTCCAAACACATACCATCAAGACTTCTTTCACTTGTATTATAAATTCCACTCTTCCTTGTCTAATCTAGAAAACTGAGTTTATTCCTATTGTCTGGTTTTTTTTATATACAGTAAATAATTCTGGATATAATTAAAAACTCTTACAGTATCAGCAGTAAAGCAACCGCCACTATCAACCAATTCCCAAATAGGCTTTTTACACTATTCACAAAAACAGCAATGTCTTGATTGGAATGTGCATTTTACTAGGTAAAAACTGATTGTTATTTTTCAGTTAGACTAGTGAAGAAACAGTCTCCTGCTACTGCCTTTTTTTCCTGCCAGTTAATAAAGAAAATTTGGTAATTTTTTCACAGTAAAATTTTCACTTTCTATAGTACTAGCTGAACTTTGAATAGAAATAAAAAACGGGTTCTTGACTTTTTAAATGGCATGTTTTCTTCTCTAAATGTCAATGAGCTTTATCAATATTAACTAATGTTCTCCCTGGTACAAAGAAATCCAAATGATGTCTCATTTAATTTTTTTGTTTGAAAATGTAGATATCCCCAGAGATCTTATTTATCTCAACCATTCACTTCATACTAATGATAATTATGCAATATGTTTAAATACTGTTTCCTGAAGACATTTGCCATCAAGCTGATGCACATATTACTTCAGAAAAAATCTTCTAAACAGAATTAATTATACTTTCTCATTTGGCTGTATAATTTCCATGAAAACTGGTATCACTAGAGGGAAAACCATTTGGACTGCATTTGCTTTTCATGTATGAGAGATTCTGACCCAATATTTACAAGCCTCTCAGTATTAATTTTTACATTAATACCATTCCAGTAATCTTACAGTGATTTCAAATCAATTCCTCACTGCTGGTGAATTCATCATTAATTGTTTCAATTCTGTGGTGTCAGTCAACACACTCAACAAATGAAAACAGAGCAATAAAGTCTACCTTTATCACTTCACATAACTTCTTCCCAACAGCAAACCCCCCAAAAGATCAACAGAACTGGGTCAGATCAACACTTAGCAATATAGTTTATTTAGAAAATGTTATGAGGATAAATTTGGAAATAAACTTTAAGCTAGAACTGATTTAGAAAATAGAAAAAAACTCAGAATTATACACTGTGGATTTCATCATCCACAAATCTGAAAAACTTTCAGACACCTGAAAGTCAGTAACTATAAAGCCTAACAAAAAACAGGTCAAAAAGAGGCCTAGAGAAATGCCTATGTCAGTTTTCAGAGATGCAGTGAGCTACAGAAATGTTAGACATCTTTGAGATTCTCTGAACCCCAGAATAGCAAGTCTCAGTATTTCTGACAAACTGCAAAAACAGCAATTCTGGACAGTCATAATATCAAACCTCAACACTTCTGAACACCAAAAAAACATACTCTACTCTTCTCCATTCCTAGCTTTCCCCTCTTCCATTATTTTCATTCTTTGTTACTGTCAACTTTCTGAAAAAGAAGCTTGAAGAAGTCCAGCTTCCAACCCCAAAGTGTCTTTTTTGTCAATTTGATAAATATTTAGTTCAGAAACAACCTGAAAAATAAGCTTGTCCTTTAATACTGAGTACAGGTAAAGCACTTCCATGAAAAAGTCATAGAAGACTTCAGATACCATACACCTAATTCTGGAAGGGACACAGAGATAAAATGTAAGATAACTTTTCACATGCCTGCTCTTCCATCAAAGAAATAATTCCAAGAATTGCTATAAAAAGCCTACATCTCAATATCTTTACTTTATAGAAGGTGAAGATTATATTACATGTGTTTTTAAAATTCCCCTATAACAAAAACATTAATAGAAAAAGAATGTAAAAATGCCAGTAAAACCATAAACCCTCTCCTACCACACAAATCAAAGTTTTTAACAGTCCTTTATTGGTTATGGATTCTCAGGTGATCCCAATACATCATTCCACTAAGGCAGACCCACGTTTATTGCATGTCTTTCTGACTGGACAGAATCCTGACGCGATTACTAACCTCTTATCTATTCAAAACTAAATTATGCAACTTGATCTATAAAGGGATACCATTTAATCAGACACTTCAAATATTACGACATGCCCTGACCACGCAGACAAGCACATAAAAGCAACACTCTGAGAGCTACAATTGTTATGGTTCATTTCAAGGCAGTTACTAATTAAACATGTGTTCTGGGACATGAATTTCTGGAGATTACTACTTGTTTTCTATGGCCCCCATTATTATTTAAGTGCTGTGAAATTGTCCTATCAGGATTGCATGTAACAATGTAGAGGTTCTTTAGACCAGGCAGCAATCTAAGCTTCCATAACATTATGAAAAGGTTTTTGACATTTTATCTGGACGTCCTATACACTTTCTACCCCAAAGACATTTCTGCAATAAAGCAACTGAAAAATAATAGCACCCAACTACTAAACTCATGTTTTTCCTCTACCAGATACAGTATGATATGCTCATTGTTTTACTTCAGACATAATGTGCTTTCACTATTAATAGTAAAGAATCTTATTAAACACATCACCAAATAAAAACTATGTTCAGCTAACAAAGTTTATGTTTTTTAGAAGACTGTTTTGAATGCACTGAAAGCTTTGGGTTTATACCTGTAGAAATGCCGTGCAAGTGACCTCTGAGCTCACACTTAAAATTGCATTTGGAACAGAGCACTCCGCAGTTGTTGTGTCTTTTAACCTAGGATTCCTTGCTGCAGTCAATCAGGTAGTAAGTCATAAAGCAATAAAACCATTGTTTAAAATAAGTAATATTTGAATTCTCATTCTGGTCTAGGAAACGTTCTATCTGGTATATCAAAGTATCTGATGAGAAGTATGTCAGTATTGCTCCCCTCTTGTTTTGTTTTTTTAAATCTTTCTGAAAAAGTGGCAAACTATATAAACTGTGATTTGATAGTTTAAGTTTGGTGTCTGTACTTCACATACATTCTCCAATATGACTGACAATTATAAAATACAAGAAAATCAGTGATTTGCAACTAGAACTCCAGAAATCAACTGCCAAAGAGGAGAAAGACATTATTCTCACAGAGCTATGCGTAGATGAACTGTGCTGGCAGAACACAGGAAAATCAAGGGAAGCGATCAGCAAGACTGCAGGACAGTAAAACTGCATAAAATTTGCAGAATACTGGATGATAGCTTTAATAATAAATTAGAGAAGTGACTACAACAAATGGTCAGAAGGGACTAGCACAGAAATAGCAAGCAAAGAGTGGAATGCTGTTTTCCTTATGAAGCCCTTGGCATTACAGTGTATTAATTTGGTTACTTTGCTGAAAAACACACATCCCTTTTCCTTGCCCATCAACTTCTGTTATCTTCCCTCAAATATTTAGTGATATCTTCTGGGCACCGTATTTCAGGTTTTTATTTTGAAATGCGGTCAAAATACAGGGTGTTAAAGAAAAAAACAGACTGTAGCCTCAACACTTAATTGTAGTCTCAACACTCCATTTGGATACCAGCTAATACTACACGTGCTTCATAATATATTTCAAAGTACTTCAGATAACCCAAATCTCATTTCCTAACTTTGAAATATTAAATGTACTTACCCTGGGGAGATTAAATGAATAGCTACCAGCTCCACCCAACAAGCATATTTACTGGGTATCTGAAATCCAAGGACGTTGCTGACTCTTCCTGGATTGTAATGGTTGTTAAGAACTTTCAAAGCGAACAAGACTCCTGCAAACAAGAAATCATCACATAGAGAAGTACTTGTGTTCAAATAATAAAGAAATGCAGACAACTACTGAAATTGAAGTATCATGCAGTTTCACAGCATCATGAAGCATACTGTTGCATGCCAGAACAACAGTTCTAAGCTGTTTTTTCAGTGACTTAAGATAAAAAAATTACCTATTTGTATAGCAGCCAATTCTAAGTTGCTTTTTAATATGCCTGCTCATTGTAGCTATTCAGCTATTCAAAGCAATATAAACATAACTTAAAAATGTGAGTTCTAGTTGAAATAATTGACAAAATTATTGAACTCCAAAAAAGTGTTCCATGAGTTGAGAAAAGCCATTACTGAAAACATGACAACTAGATGCATGTGAAGCTCAACGGTAGGCTCAAATTCTGAATTAATGGAAAATCATCTTACATATGCTCCAGAATCACTTGTTTCTGAAAAAAAGTAGATAAATCATCTTTAATTATAATAATCATTCATTTCTAATTGACAGCAACTGTTTTATCATGCAAGCAATAGTCAATATGACAGAATGAATTCACATAACTTATTGGAACTTTCAAAATGTTTTTGAAAAAGTTCTCAAGAGAAAGCTCACACAGTTGTTTCAAAAAATCTGAAAAATCAACAAATAAATGTTTTGACATGGAAAAGAGTTGAACATCAACAGACAGACTAAAAACATGAAAAGTGTTTCCCTCCCCTTCTACCACCACAGAAAACAAGGCACAGCGAAATGCCTTCATCTATCCACTGATGTAAATATTGTTATTCTAAGATCAAATATAAACAGGAATGTGTTTGCACATACACAAATGCTCACACTATTTACTGCTGATAAATCTGGACTTAGTCAGAAACTACAGATTTACTAAAGGAGAGAAACATGCGATAGCAGCAACGTAGTTTAGGAGTCACCTCCATTCAATCCACCCTTGCTCACAAGAATCCTGTTTGTACAGCTTCAACTTTTTAAGTTATTATTTTTTTAAAGGTTTAAGTGTCCATTGGAACTGCCTGACCTGGTATGTTATCAGGTTCCATCCAGGGGGACAAGAGGCAGGTCTGTTTCATCGATTTAGAACAAAATAAAATAATTAAAAAATACAGGCACCCTAAAACTCTTAAAACCTGGTAAAGCGAAGGGGTCATGAATACACATACATATTGGCTCTTAAAGAACATTATCAGGAAAATACTCCTGTTTTCTTCAACAGCTGTTCCATATACATACTACTTGTCCCAATTGAAGAGAAATTACCTATGCTGAAGGTCATGTTGAGAATGTTGAAGGTTTAGAAAGATCAACTATGGATACTAACTCTGTCATACCTACTTTAATTTGCTGCCTGAATAATGGTCAAATTCACATGCACATCAGCTGCAGTCCCACATTTCCAAGCTTGAAATACTCAAAAGACGCTGCAGAATGTAAGTCACATCAGGACAGGTTGCAATATTCAATGCTAGATCTGAACTATCTTGCAGAACATGTAAGTTAAAATCCAATTAGGTAATCCCTAAATTGACAAAAAGGTTGACTTTGTCCTGCATATAAATGACTTAGTAGATTACAGGCTTAGTCCCACACTCTTTTTAGTTCACTAAAAAATCCAAAATATATGCTCCGACCAATACGTTGAAGTATATATATGCTCCGACCAATATGTCGAGTATGGCTGACAGGAGTCTCTCGTAAGGAATGAAATGGGGACCCAATCTGGCCCATCACCAACGTTTGCTCTGCCTGCCAGCACCACTGCTGTTCAGTAACTTGGTCTCTTTTGCCATAAAGCTGCATCACCTGGAAAATCATATCACTAAATCTAACTTCCCTTCTTTTTGTTCAAGGAAAGGGACATGTAAGTTGCTATATGGCTAAGTAAGAAGCTGGAGACTAATCCGGTGAAAAAGTCTTATAATGAAATCTCAACATTAACCAATTATATGGTAGTATTATAGGCCCAGTTAAGAGTATAAAGAAGTTTCATCATAAATTCTTGAAATATTCACCCTTCTCATTCCTACTAAGAACTGGGTTGATATTTAGCTATTTTAAGGTATGGACTGATAGGAAAAACCTCCCACGGATGGTGCATTATGTAAGTGAATACCAAAAAGGGATACTTCTTCCCAACTTCTAGGGGTCTCAACTTCTCATCCTACAGTCTAGGATGATACAAGAAAAGAGGTTCAAAAAGACGCTGGATGGCAGCACCTCTCAGTTGTTCATATTACAGAGCACATTTCCCCCACAAATCACTCAGCAATAGTTGGGAGTATTGTATAAAAGCTAACCCTATAAAGTCCAGCTAAGACTGGACCATTTTACTACTAATAATATTCAGTAGGGTTCTGCAGTCATTTAGGTAGCAACAAGAATGAGATGCTCAGCAAAGGAAGGGTATCCAAAGGGAAGAGGGAGCGAGGCAGGCGGCAACCTGCCCAGTAGGGGCCCAGTCCCCACACTCCTTGAGCAAAGCACCCAGGGCAGCTGGTGATGGCAAGCGGGGTTGCCAGGAGCCCAGATCACCAGGCACATCCTCCTAACAGAGCAGGCCCAAAGAAAGTCAGGAAGTTAAGTCAAGGCCCAGGTCAGAGAAGCACATGGCCAGGCATAGATGCAATGTAGCTCAGACAGGAACAACTAGAGGGCTTGAGCTTAAAAGTAGCTGCTGGGAATGGGGAAAAAGGCCCCTGGTGTAGCTTCTCTCAGCTGTCTCACACAGATCTTATCCCACTAGTCTGAGGTGGGTCACAGCTGCCCCATATCAGAGCTGGCCTTCAGCACAGGCAGCCAGATTCCACAGGAGAAGAGGTTGCACTCAGGGCCCCTACAGCCAGCCACCATAAAGACCAATATTAGAACTGGGCATGTCTCATAGTGGGTGACCAGAGAATATCTGAAGCTTCAAATGAGCCACTACTAGGATGTTACAACTAGTATCAACTCGAATACCATAAGGAACTCTCAGAAGTGTTGAAGCACCTTTCTCAGAGGTTGAAAAGGAGGGTTTGCCTTCTAATGCTAGGTCTCAATGACAGCATGAGTACAGCATGTACCCAAAGTACATGCTTTAAATTAAAAAACAGGTTAACTTTACTGACATAACAACCACATACATGCATATGGATGTACACCTATCCATTTTCTGCATTTAAATATTGCTATATACTACCTATAAATATTAATTTTACAGATGTAAACTGGACTGTGTGCCTTACCTGAAAAACCTACAGCACAATTCCTTTCATACAAAGGATCATCCAGAATTTTCACAAGCATGAATTCCAGCACCATATAAACAACTCCAATCAGCACTGAAAATACTGCAATTATGTATGCAAACCATATGCTCTTAAGCTTTTTTTCCAGCATTATCCCCTTCCAAAGCATGGAAATCATGTTATAATATAAATGCCAGTCATCTGCATGGTGGACAGGAGAAAGCAGTAAACGCTGCCAGTTCTTTCTGTAGAAGCCTTCATGTACACTGATACACACTTCATGCAGTGGGCTCACAGGATTCAGAAAGAGAAAAATATTCAGTGCAAGTACGCCCAGGGTTACAGAAGGAATGTTCTGGAGTCCAACTTGAGAAATTTGATAAAGCAGCAAAAGGAGTCCAGCATTGACTCTCCCCTGCCTTCGGTGCATTATTACTTCTTATTAAAAAAAGTGAAGATTATTCCAACTTCTAGTCTTTTGTTCAAATTCAAAACCATACAAGTTTTGGAAATTCTGAAAGAAAAAAAAAGATAACTGCATTATTATACACATACAGGGATGTTTTCAAGCTCATCACTTTTTTTTTTTAAAACACAGCAAATTCTTCAAGCTAATCAGCTGATACCTCTTTTTTAAATCCGAACAAAAATTCAAGTGAGGAAAAAAAAAAATCACAATTTTTAAACTGGCATAACGTACAAATAAAAGGGATTTATATAGATAATCCAGACAAGCATTGTGAGAAAAAGGAACCTGCAACGTCTCTCTCATGTCCCTGGACAGGCTTTACTTCATCTATAAAATTCCTGGGTGTTCTAGATACCTTCTCATTAATATCCTGATTCACAACTACTAAAATTTAAGGAAGCAAACTAATTAAAAATATTTCTCTAGACTTTCAGGTTTCAGACTTCCCATCTTTGCCACATACATACTTTTTTTCATGACCATTTTTCCAACTTTTACAAATATTCAATGCAAGCTAAGAATGAAAATTAAAACTTATTTTTCAAGAAGTAACAGAGATACAGCTAAGTACTCCTAAATGTAAGCTTTGAAAATTGTTCTTGCTATCCCAGTGACTAGAATTCAAAGTTTAGTTTAAAAGAATGCAATGGAGGAAAAAAAACTGTAGGAGGAAAGCATCTACAAGAACAGCACATAAAATTTCCAGATCGTTATAGCAAAATATTCATCTCTGCCCTAATCATGCCAGATAAAGTAGAGGATTAAAAAGGGCTATAAAAGTTCTAGATCTAGCTAGAAATAGGGTTACTACAACAGAAACTGAAAAAGGGAATCAAGCTAACCTGTGCAAGCTTATAAAGAGAGGAAGGAGGGAGCTACAGTGGAGAACACAGCACAAGGTGACATGGAGTTTCTAGAAAGTGGAACCACCTGCAGAAGACAGGAAGAGACACTGAATTTGAAGTAGCTTCTGAGGGCCACCTCAACTTGGCCAGAGCTATTTTTAGTTCTCAAAACTGTGCAACATGGCATAAAAATAGCACGGCCACTCTTCTCCACCTCTAGTATGCCAGTTCTTTGCTAAACTATTCAAGATACACAATATATTATTTCACATCTAAGTATCAATTATGCAGAGCCAGCAAAATACACTTACTCATCAAAACTTTGCTATCAAGTTTCAAATGAAACTTTCTGAAATATCTAGATATATACAAAATTCTCATCTCAACATCCCATTCACCTCCTTTTCCATTATATAATAAAATAGTTAGAATCATTTGTTAATACGCTAACTTTTTATTTAGTTTAAATTTCTTTCCAATTCATTGCAAATACTTCCTCTGTAAACATTTTTATTAGATAAACAACAATAATTCTTCTGGAGCACAACAGGAAAAAATGACACCTTTATAAGGAGAAAAGAACAACAGCTCAAGATGCAGAGTTCAACATTCCATGTTATGTCTGTTAGGATTTACTACATTGCACATTTCTACAGACCATTGATATGCCTGCAAACACTTTACTAAGCATTTTTCTTTAGGTATTCAGAGTATCATTAATAATTTGATTGGGTTGCACTGCACAAAGTGAACACATGGAAAAGAAAGAAATCACCTCTGAATGATGTTATCCTGTAACAGCAAAAGGAACTATGAAACCTGCACAGGGCTGAACATCAGAGATCATCTAGGGGCCAGCCTACCTCCTCTATTTAGATCTGAGAGCAGCATATACCTCCATGCTAGTTCACACACATAACTATAAGAAGTAGCATTAATTAATCAAATTAAGTTATTCTAGTCTCTTTAAATTGCATTTATGCTTATTATAGAACTTTAAGAGAAGAAAAAAAACCCTGCTAGCATCCTCAAGACAACTGCAGTAGAACAGAATGCAAGGAAATTATTTGCTACATTAAAAGGGAATTCACTGCATTTTTTCCCATGGTCTAATCTCTTACATAGCAGAGATGCTACATAACATCTAAGTCTTGCCCAAAACAGAGTGTAAACAACAGAAACATGCTTTATACTACGCCTCTTGAACATATAACTAACTAAAATGGTGCCTTTAAAAAACAGTTTCTAATCCTCACAATTTAACTACAGAGATCACAGCTGTAGTCCCTACAAAATTCAAATGAGCTAAAACTTAAAATGTAAATTGATTGTTGCAGACCACAATGAACATTGTCAGCCTTTTGACTTTTTAATGTCAATGTTACAAAAAAAATACTTAGATAACCAAAGTTTACTCAATGTCGTTCTTTTTCCACGCTACATGCTCTGATACCAGGTATATAAAATTGTTCTTATATACACCTGCTCAAACTTCTGATTGTCCTTATATCACTGCGCAGCTACATTTTTTCCCCACCACAAAACAGTTGACATAAAAACTGTTAGAATTTAAATTAGCATCCTTTAAACCCAAGTTACGTGGAAACTCCAAAAATCTTGCCATACCACATTGTTCAAATTGCCAAATACTACAGTCTCACTTTTTAAAGTGCCCCCTCCCCCCTTTTGCTACTCTAATTCTCAATTTAAACACTTTTAACATACATGCACCTAGCAAAAGAAACTCTCATGCAGCTCATATCTGTACAATAATCATGTAACATGACTGAGAATGGTTTATGCCATGATTACAGTAGTGCTATGTATTATAATTCATTCCCATTATTGGGAGCAATAAAAAAAATGTCAGCCAAGAACCATTATGTGTTTGATTATAAAGGAAAAAGATATAAGAAATCAGTAGTTTGAGAGCCTTCTGGAATGCAACTAAATTCAAATATGTAGGGCTTTCAACTGTTTGAACATTCTTCCTCAGCCTCTACTGTGTTTATTAAAAGTCTAACGAGACTTGAAACAATGAAGCACTTTTTCTTTTTTGAAAACATGCCACCCACTTCAAAATGTACAAATTTCCAAAAGAGACTTGAAATGGACATTTGTCTTGCTTCTAGGCTGCCACGTGTATGCATTTTTGTCACCTACTCAAGATAAATGTCTGAACTAAACATTCTCGGAATTTGTTTGTTTGTTTTGTACTAAGCAAGCGCAAAGCAGTTAAACTTTTACTGTGACAACCTCCCTTGCTCACTTGGCAACCATAAAATATTATGACTTAATATTACTGAAAACTCATGTAATAAAGTAAATATTTTAGTAAATACAAGTTGAAATGAAACATTATACTGTCTTTTCGTATGGCTGTAATTTGAAGTTAGAAGAAAAGAATCTCCCTGAATCCTTGCTCCCCCAAAACAGACAGAACTACCCTGAAATTTTGTTTATGTGAGTCAAAATCCAACCCATTGCCCTTCTGCTTAAAAAAAAAAAAATTAAAAAACCCACTGTGACATAAAAATAGATTTTTATGACTGGACAGAGACATACAACATCTCATTCCTACTGAGGGTGAATGCAGCCGTGACCTCCAGATTTTGCTGTTATCTGCACAGCACATCCTGATCTTCAGATCTGTCACCAACTTTCTCCCTATATCTGCTTTGTTCTTCTCATTGCTTTGCAAAAATGATTCGTAACAGAGGCACTTTATGTGCATGGTATAACTCTTCACTGACAGAAAAAAATCCCAGGGTTACTCTTTCAGTTCAGGAGTATGATTTTGAAGTGAATTTCTCTATTACCCCCACTGACTTCACACTGTGGAGTGGCCTGAGTGTGCATGAACTAGTCTCTTCAGAAGAGACTAAACCAGGAGATGTGTTCCAGGAAAGAACCCAGTGGACTCCAAAAATATTGGGCATTCAGCCTACATATCCAGATTAGAGCTAGACCAATGTATAAAACACTTGCCATGTGTAAAGGGTGAGTATCAGATCCTGAGCATAAACCATTTCACGCTACAGATAAGCCTCAACAGGCCCACGCTACTTGTCTATTAAGATATGGTCTCAGGGTATAAAGATCTACCCCAGTCAAGAATGAAACAGAAACAGTGTTTTTAGGGCAAGAGTCCTACAAAGGAACCAGAAGCAAACTGTAAACCCGTTTACTATTGCCCTCAAACTTTGGAGCAGGGGGGAAGGCAGGCATAACAGAAAAACAAACATTGCAAGGAAAAACTCAAAAATTTGAAACATAATGAATCATCCTGTTTATATTTAATGTGTATGCAAGGAGAAGGTCAACCACAAGCTGTCAGTTATAATAAGCTTTGAAACATCTAGTCATTTGCACAGTTTATAACAAAAGACAAGGTTTTGACATAATTATAAAAGTAATTACTTTATAAAGAATGACTTTTGGATTAATCAAATGTGCCTTTAAAGGGCATAATGTGCTTTTATTGACAAAGAAATACTGAACTTTGAACTGAAAAAACATAACAATTTCAGAATTTGGTTTGTGAAGTCATAAATTATTTTGAAACATTTGTATTACAGATGTAAGTCAGTAGCTGTCTTGCTGAAAGAAAACAATACGAAGTTAAATACCAACAAAAATGACTGCACAGAAGGCTACAAAGTCTTTTAATACACCACATTTTATTTTAAATGTCTTTCAAAGTTTTCTGTGAGAATAAGGAAGTTCCTCTGCCTCTTATGTTTGCTTCAGCATGAAAACTGAAAATGTTTTATAGTTCCTTTATCCTCTTAAGTACTACTAAAAAGAAGCCCTTCACAAAATAAGCTTTTAAGCTAACAGCATAAAACTGAAAATTGTGTTCTGAAGGGTGTGGCAACTACAGGCCAAGAACACTTTTGGACACCTTATCTCACAATAAATGAGACAGCTTTCAGAGGAAAGAACAGATAAGGTCCAATTTCAGAAATTCTGTTTTTAGGGTATCTCATATTCTACCTCACTGAGACAGACCTGAGACACTAAGCATTTAGGCTTTTAATTGCCTCAGTTTGACTACTGCTATTTAATCTAAAAAGAAAAATACTTAAACCCTGCAACTGTCCATCCTGCACTTAA